ATGAGTTCATCACTTGTGAGAACATAACTCTATTTACTCGAAAAACTAGTGATTAGTTTTGATTATTTCTCTACAATAGAGAGAGAGAGAGAGAGAGAGGCGAAGAAGAAAAACCTGTTTCTTAAAAAAATATTATTAAATAAAGTGAATAAAGACTTTGAAGAAGAGAAGAAAAACTAAAAATGTAAAAATGAAATGAGAAGTCAATCGTATGCCGGATGTAGTGATGCTCTCAAACAGATTGCTTCGCAAAGAGAGTGAAATATACAATAAATATAAACTTTTTTGGCTCCAAAAAAGCACTTCATTTCTTACATCAAATACAATACAAAACAGACACACAATTCATACGTGAAATGTAATTAACTCACGATATTATAGGGAAACACACGATGTGTTTAATATCATAATGAAATTCCTCTATATTTAGCTCCCATTATCTCACAATTCTTTGAGACTAATAAATAGTGATTACATTTAAAAAACAACCTTGTTTGATCATGGTAACACTTTTTATTAAGCTGTATTATTGGATTGCGATTTGTGTATTAGTTTGAGTGCCTATGAAATCAAACTCAGTTCATGAAATACATGGTTTGCTATTCATTTAATACGATATTGAATTTATTTTATGCTAAAATCATATGTATTTTTCAATGAATTAAACATTTCATGGCATTGAATGGCGTCCGAAGAATATATGAGAAAATGTATTGAATTTTGATGAAAACTTATTGAAACTTAAACTTAAAATTGGATTAAAATTATATTTTTCTTATGATTTGTTTCTTCACTCAATCGTTACTTAACTTTTGAAATACGGTTTTGAAAATGATTTATATATTTGATGCCAAAAATAAAGATTTATTTCATTTTATTTATTTCACAACTGATTTATTAATGAAAAACATCAAAATATAGTTATAAAAAAGTGTTTACATATATTCTCGGAGTAAATGGGATTAAATAAGTTGATTGTTGTATAGACAGGACACCGACACCTCCCTGTGCTCTATGGGATTAAACACAGCAATCGTCTTGCATTACATGTGACATAACATTTGCTACGGATTAGTGTTCAAGAGTTTTATACATGTGTTTCAAAATATAAATAAATAAATTTAAATACAGAATTAATATTCAGATATAATTTATGACATAATATGAGTGCAAATACTGTTTCAATGAAAATATACTTCCACTCGTTGTTTGAAGTAAAACAACAACAAAATAAAGTTTAGTTTAGATTTTATTTTGTTAGTAAATTTGTAATTTTAAAATAACCTTTTTGAATATTCAAATTCAGTTTAAGTGTTATAATAAGTTATTTATGCATTAAGTATACGGTATGTCCGTATTGTATAAGTAAGGGGTGGGTGTGGGGGTTAGGGAAGGGTATATTTAGTTTAATTATTATAATGTGATTTATTTATTTAAACAAACAAATAAAATAACTTTATTTACATTTTATTACAATAATATAATCTGATTATTGAGATGTTGTGTTGGAAATAAGTATGAAAAATATTAATATTTCTGTATTTAACTAAAATATTAAATGGTTTAAGTGTTTAAAACTTATAATTTTTGCAAATAAAAATAGTTTACATTTAAAACTAAACACATTTAAGACACAACCTATTGATTCAATGATATATTTCTCGCAAAATACAAAAACTAATGAATTAAAAGCTCAGAAATAAATGTTGATTTAAATCACTGCAAAACATTTTAGACAAATATCCGCACAAATCAATCACTGTTTGCCATAAATTTTTACATTTATTTTATAATTTCTTCATTAATTTATTCAAAGAAATATTTAAAACATTTCTTAAAATAGGGATTACTGTCAGACATCTGTATAAAGCATTCAATTAATTAAAATAAAAATAATTTTTAAGTTTTTAATGATTTAAAACATTTAAATGTCAATTGGTTTGACAAAAACCAACTCAATAATAGACACCAAATATTTTTTATACCCCAATAAATATTGGCCACAAATACACTGATCGATTGGGTCATCAAAAACATCGGGGCCATACAATTATTGTTGTGGGCAATTAATTATTTAGTAGAGTACACGTCACCGGCAGGCATATACCAGTGCTGAGTGAATGGCCACTCGTATACACCAGTGGTCACCAGCACTTGGTCTCAAAGAGAGTGATCCTCTCTCTCTCCTTGTTATTGCTCTTTGGATGCGATGATCGCCTCAAATGGCAATAATTTCTGCACTAATTGATGGGTCAAGTGATCGGTCGACCAATAATGTCAATGCTCTCTCTCTCTCTCTCTCTCTCTCTAACACACGGATGTCTAACCTTATTATCAATCAATTGGTGATGTAATGAGCGGACGGCACACAACAAGAAGTAACCATATTTTGATTGACACTCAATCCAGTCGTTTGATTAAGTCCTTTAGCCATCAATTTCTAACCACAAACTTATGGCTTATAATTGAATAAACAATAGGAGAGAGAGAGAGAGAGAGACCTTCACAAACACACAACTGATGTGTTAATTATAATCATTTAAAAACAATATCTAATATTCAATCAATTAATTTCCGGATTTGTTATTATTGTAATAAATTATTCAAACATTACATAACATTCAGTCAAAGTAAAGACTTTGACTAAAAATGAAAAAAAAACATACAAAAAATTAAATAATACAGCGCTTAAAACAATACAATAGTACAGTATATAATAAATGACATTAAAAATAAAACAAATAAATTAATTTTGTACTCAATTTAATGAACAATTGGAGGGAAAAGAGATGACAAAAGTGATGGCGAGGGTAAGGGAAGAGGTGTGTTGGGTGTGAGCAGTGGTCAGCGCTTTAATCGGGTAGAAACACATCGCGAATGGACCTATGATTGGACGAACGGAGTCGGCTCACAGCCGAGTTGACCCGCATATAGTTGTCGGCCGAGTTGTGCTGATTGTATGGGACAGAGCTGTGGGCAGACATACCGACCCCTTGGGCCCAACGCTCGGGCTGTTCGCCAATGTAGACAAAAGTCCAGTCGCCTTTGGCCTCCCTGTCCGCCACCAACTGTCGGACCAGCTGTTGGTTCGCCCGACGCGACGCGTTCTCCTCTCCATCCGTCATAATCACGAATACCACCCGATCTTCGGGCTCCTTGTCTTTGTCCACCAACGCTATGGTGTCGGCCACGGCGTCGTACAGAGCGGTTCCCCCTCCGGGCCGGTAGATGGCCGAAGTGAGCGCCGGGACAGTGGCCAGCGGTACGGCTCTCAACCCCACTGCGACCGAGTTGTTGAATGTGACCAAATAGACCACCGCCTTGTCTTCGGTGGCAACCGCTCTCTGTTGGCCAATGAACTGATTGAAGCCACCGATTGTGTCCGTCATCTGCGGTGCCATCGATCCCGACGCGTCCAATACGATGGCGATCAGTGTTTTGCCTGACATTGTCTTCACAGGGATCAGTTGTCCGGTGATTGTGTGTATAAGACTAGACGATGACTAGATATGAAGTGATTTTCAATGAATGAATGAGTTATACGTTATTAATAGCAGTGTTTTATCAATGGCTTTGAATGTTGTGAACACGTGTTGTGAATGACTGGCGATTATTAATCAATGTATTGTTTTCGCATTATTTTCGTAGTGTTATGCAATACTACTCGCTAGCATTGACAATGCATTGAATCTGCTTATCACTCACATATGTCTGGCTACAGCACAACATTGGTGTACACGTAGTTATCGACTACAGTCAGTATTGCATAACACTACGAAAATAATGCGAAAACATTATTGTTGCCTTAAGTTTTTCATATGTCGTACAAATGTATAGTATTTTTTCACTTTCATTGACTGTTTCTGAGTTTTTTCAATGAGTTTTAAATCATGAGATGAATGACAAAAGTATATTCTCTGTGTGTAAGGCATGTACTGTAGTATAAAGGCATCAATCCGTTGGTCCCCAAACCGATAGGTGTCTGGCGTTTGTCTGAAATGTTTGTGTGAAAACTTTTATCCCCTTTTTGTCCATTAGTTTTAAGGCATTTCCAACTTTTGTATTGCACTTGTATTGGTATTTGTGGCGATTTTTTCTCATAGAGATGTCGTTATTAGTTATATTTCATTGACTTATTTGCAATTTTGAATGATTTTTTGTTAATTAAAATAATAATGAAATAAACATACAAACAATAACTTTTAATTAAAATTTAATTGCGATTACAAATCTCAACAAATTTATTTTATTTCATAATTATAATTACAAACAATTAAAAATTCATACAACAAAAAATATTACAAACAAATATCCAATTTTTCAGAGAATATAAATCAATTTGCTGTGAATAAAATTAAACAAAATTAAATAACAAAATGGTCTAGCACACATTTTCTTACCCGGACAACACATTCCTATGGTTCGGGAGCGCAAACCTCTTGGTGTCAATCAATTTCTTTAAGGCTGAGTTAGTTTTCACTGTATTTGTTAGACTATCGGCGCTGTTATGCGGGACAGCATTTCCCGACGACATACCCGTCCCGTACGGACGCCAGCCATCCTTATGCTCAAGTGTTTTGACCATAATTTATACTTTTAATGCCAAAAGTTTTTATCTCAAATTTTGTGGTCTTATTAAATGGTTTTCAAATAAAATAGTTTGTTATATAACAGGTGTATAATTAGTGATTAGTATTCAAAGTGTCAATTCAATGGCATTTCAATGCAAACGTATTGCCATACATGTAATGCTGATGGTGATTTTGAAGTGTTATATTTATGGTGTTGTTTACAAAGTTTTTAGTATTTTTGGCCACTGATTGGATGTCAGAGATGTTTAATTCAATTTATGATTTTGGTATTTTGCTTGAAACAAATCAATTCAATTTCTACCTTAATGTTACAAAACACTGTTTCTGTAAATATTTGTAAATCACATGAAATTAAATACGCAAAGAATGTGAAATTTAATTCAAAAGTATGATTTAAATTGTTTTCAAAATCATATCTAATAATTAAACAACTTATTAGTTAATAATAACCACAAATTAATCAATTAATATTTAATTTGCTAATTAACAATTACAAACAAATAAAAATGCATACAAAAATACTGCAAACAAATCTAATTCATTAGAGAATATAAATCAATTTCTTGTTAATTATAACAAAACAAAAAATACAAATTTAATAATCATTAAGACAGTATATAATAAATGCTGTCAATTAATTTTGTACTCAATTTAATAAACAATTAGAAGGGAAAAGTAGTGGCAAGAGGTAGGGGTCGGGTGTGTGTGTTGTCATGCGGTGGTCAGTGATGTGTCCATCACTTGCGTTCAAACA